GAAGAACGCCAGATAGTTTGAGGTGCGGATTATTCGGCGAGCGGCATCGTTGGTGATTCGCTGTTACCAACGTATTGTGGCGGTGCAACGATAGCAACGGTGGTTAGAGACAAACTCCGTAGTGGTAGGCAGCCCTGCTGTCGTCCGGTTCAATACCACATCTAACCTATCGGGGCCTTATGTGGTTCNTTAGGTTGCCGATTTCAATCACTGAACAGCAGGTCCTCGGGACTATGTGGTTTACCCCGTCTACTGCTCACCACACCTAAGTGTGTAATAAAAAAAGTCTTCCGCATGAAGGGGTTAACTTTCGCAGCCTTAGTGTAGAACTGCGTATTGTGGCGTTGCAAGCGAGGCCTTTAAAGATAAGACTGATATCAAGTCGCCGCCACAAGTGATGTAAGTTAGCGAGAGCGACTTAAGCCTTGCGGATACGCGCTGATATTTTTCCTGTCAGTCCTGTTGAGCTGAAACAACTTAAGATAGGTAGAGTGATTGACGATTTCCAACTGGTTGCTCACAAGTGTGAGGACAGATATAGCCTCTTGCCAATTTTGTAGTAAAACCTTACATTTCCATGGGAAAAGAATTCCATTTCAGTTTAAAACTCTAAACCATGCACTATCGTTCATTGGTTTTAGTAACTGTATTTTGGCTGTTCATTTGGATGAAGCATTAGGAAAAAGATGGAGAATTTAGAAGCAAAGTCGAAGAGAAATTGGAGAATTTCAGTGGACTAAGGTTGCGAAGAAAATGAGAACGTTACTGTTTACGACAGCCATTTCACTCAGTATCTATATCGATTAATTGCAATGATCCCGAGGTCCCCATCTGGGGAGCCTAGTGCGACCTACATGACTGATTCTCCCGGTTTCAGTTTTCAAATCCAATACGAGGTCTTATTTTCGTCGTATCTGTATATGCACCGACCGATTGTAGTAAACCTGAAATGAAGGATAAATTCTACAAGGATCTTTCTCAATTACTCCATTACTCGATCAACGGACATCGTAGTAGTCTCCGGAGACTTCAATGGCTAAATGGGGTCCCTGGACAAATCAGAAAGGCTTCTTGGCGGACTACATGCAATCCTAGCCAACCGGACGGACAACCGAGGTCGCCTACTCCAACTGTGCGCGACCACGGATTGTTCCTGTTGCACAAGAAACAACACTGTCTTACATGGAAACCGCCAACCTCTTCACAGCAGTCAACCCAAGTCGACCACATCGCTGGAGGTCGATTCAAGACTGTCTCTCTTATTGGTCAACATATGTGGATACCAGAAGGCCTTGCGTGACAGGTCTCTAGAGGCTCCCACAAGGGTGCTTCGGTCACGCTCCCGCGTTGGATGTACGCCCCACTGCCTTGTGGGTCAGACTTTTGAGTCAAAGGCTCCGGTTAGGGTTCCTAAACAAAACCCCTTCGTCGGTGTTGGCTGCCGCGAATTATGTCTTGCCCTAAAGTCTTAGGGACCCATTTGGAAAAACCTCTTTCCTATCTGAACTGTAGGTACGCACCAAGATTTGTTGCAAACCAAATTCTCTTTACGCCTAGTAATCAACCTCAAAAATGCTACCGAAGACGGACACTCACGGTGCAATGCCAGTGACTGTTGCAAATCGGCCTACGAAGCAGAATTCTTCAATCGCCTATCAGTTCAACCACCACCCGGTGAACTTAATGAACAGTGGAAGCAAATCAAGAAAGCTATACAGATACCAATACAAACTACGTCGCATCCTGACGCACCCTGCACCTTGATGTGGTGCGATGGCTTATGCACCTCTGACCAAGCGAGCTACACAGGATGGCTTGGTCAAGCCAGGAGATCCTATGATGCCTGGAAGTTCAGTGGGTAGAGGTTAGACAAAGTCCAGTCTCCTGGTCCTCCGGGTTGGAGGATTTGACTGGAATTTGCGTTACAGTCGGTGGCGGTGGCGCAGTGGTTTAGTCGCTGTCACCGGCGTGCTTTGGACCCTATGGTCCGAGGTTCGAGCCCCGCCACCGCCACCCGACTTTGGTGGTAGGCAGCTCTGTTGTCGTCCGGTTCAATACCACACCTAACCTATCGGGGCCTTATGTGGTTCGCCACTCCAAGTTCCGGGGCTTAGGTTGCCGATTTCAATCACTGAACAGCAGGTCTTCGGGACTATGTGGTTTACCCCGTCTACTGTTCACCACACCTAAGTGTGTAATAAAAAAATAGTGGAGTAATCGATTCAAGTGAATGGGCCTCTATTTGGCTTCACCTGCTGCCTTGCGGCTAGGCTGTAGTCAGAACTAAAGGCTTTGGTTGAGAATTCTACTTACTGACTGGACACCCTAGCAATACATGCTCATCGAACCCCAATGCATACAGAAACAAAATATAATTCCATATTGCATCGGTCGTCTTGCAGGATAATCAGGACCGCGCTGCCCATTACATTGAGCTGGTGAAATGGAGGTAGCAGCTGCTTCAGGGAATAGTTAGACTGTTCCGATCGATACGCAATACTGTAGGTTGGTGAGCTGCAGTTAGTGAATAACTTGACCGCTCTTATCGCAAACTGTTTCACTAATTTCTGTTCAGTTTGTGCATGGTGAATGGTTGTACAAAATGAACCGAACTGAGTGATACAGTTTGCGATAAGATGGGACAGTAGGAGTGAACGAATTGATCACTGGGCAGAACACTTCGGCGCANNNCCCGCCGCTAACCAGGTTGCTTCATTCGCAACTGCATCTTCTTGGGCAGTGTCGTGTTATTCTCCAACGGAACCAGAAGTTCGGTCTTGCATGCAGTCTCTGAAGAAAGTAAAAGCTGTAGGACCAAATGAGCTCCGTCTCACTCTTTTCAAGATGGGGGTGATAACTTCGTAAGCTGTATTACTACCTTACTACACAACATTTGGACGCAAGAGTGCATTCCTTCACTTTGAGGCGAATCACGGATCGTTTCCATTTTCAAGAAAGAATCTAGCAATGATTGCGAAAACCACTTCGGGATCAGTTTGGTCACGATCGTCACCAAAGTGCTAGCTTCAGTTATACTTCGGTCTCTTAAGGGAGACTAACATCTGTGAACAACAAGCCGGTTTCCGGCCTGACCGTGAGTGTATTGGTCAAAGATTTACGTTGCGTCAGGTCCTTGAGTTCGTCACATCTACCGTCGACCAACGATTGCAGTTTTCCTTGACCTGAAAGAAGCTTTCAACTCAGTTGACCGCGAAGCTCTGTTTGGTTCCCTTCCTCGGAAACAAGTGCCCCAGAAGTACGTTAATTTACTTAGATCACTGTGATCACATGCCTCTGCTCGAGTGAGGGTTTATAACGAACTAAATAGGCCCTTCGTTACCAGCAGCAGCGTTCGTCGAGGTTGCCTTCTTTCGCCGTTCTTGTTCATTTTCGCCGTATACGAATTACTGGAGAATACATTATGTGGGCTCCAAAACGTAGGTATTAAATGGACAGCTGGAGAAAAGCTGTGCGATTTGGAGTATGCCGGTGACATTGTCCGTTTGTTCGAATACTTGGAGGACGCGCAAAGCACACTTGTTAGATTAACAAGTGCTGTTGCCACATTTAATGTATGCTTTGCATCCTCAAAGTGCATTGTAATGTTCCTGGACTGGGTGTCGTCTACTCTGCTCTAAAACTAATTGGCCAGGAATTAGTTATGGTGGATTGTTTTTCGTACTTTGGTAGTTGCGTGACCAATGACAGCAGCTCATCAGAGGAGATAACTGCCCGTATTTCCAAGGGTTGAGCAGCATACGCCAGACTGAAACACTTTTAGCTTAGACACTACTTTTCACTGAAGCTGAAAGGTTGTATATATTGCGCTAGCGTTTGTTTAGTTCTTTATGGTTTTGCGACCTTAAATTTGGGAGTCAAAGATATTCATCGACTAGAATTTTTCGATCATTGGTGTTTACGTAGTTTAGTCCACGTGGGAGCGAACGGGTTAGTTGTCTGGAGGTAAGCCTCCGTGTTTTTGGTAATCTATCAGGCATAAACCTGTTAGCACATCGAATTGAGATTAATAGACCTTGCTCGCTAGGGCACGTTCACTGGTCGTCAAAATCTAGAACGCAGACACTTTTCGTGGACCCGCCATTTCCATCTTCCTCGACCTGAAAGCGGCTTTCGACTCAGTCGACCGCTCTAAACTCTGGCGCTACCTTTCCCTAAAGAGTGTGCCCGATAAGTTTATTTCAATTTGGCAATCCCTTTATACTATACGAGCTCACGGCACTTTTTCACCCGAGTTCACCACGGAAAGTGGTGTTCGACAGGGTTGCCCTCTCCTCTATTTAACTTTGTCATAGATTTAATTCTTGAAACAGCCCTATCCTCGTGCAGGGATAGCGGTATCGATTTATTTCCGGGTGGCAGACTGTCTGATCTAGAGTATGCAGACGACATTGTGCTACCAAGTAAAGATCCAGGTAAGTTGCAAGCTTTTCTGGGTAGTTCGAGTGCTCGGTATGCGTTTTGCACATTCAACGTTTAAAATGTTACAAGGTTGGGTTGGTTTAAACCTCAACTTCACCCTGATCGGGGAGGTAGTAGAGAAGGTAGACACGTTTTGTTATCTGGGCAGCTTAAGCTCACCGGGCGGACGCTTCACGAATGAAGTGTTGGCGCGCATACAAAATGCTCGGTTGGCATTTGCCAACTTGAGACATCCGGCTGCCTATGAAGAGTCGAGTGTATGCTGTAGCAGTTCGGCCAGTTCTGCTGTACGGCGCAGAGACTTGGCCATTACGGGAACAGGATAAAGTATACTGTCGGTGTTCAAATATCACTGTCTACGTCGCATTGCACAAATCGTTTCGTCTGTCAACTTGTCCGTTTGAGCGAGGACTGTAGGCTGTTGTTCTGCTGGAGGGAAATTCTTAAGCTCCTCGGACATGAAGGACGAACCCCTACCAAGAAGTATGTAGGAAGGTATACCAAAGATCGAGAATAAATTGGTGAGACTCCGGATGACTGTAGCAGCTGATAAGTCAGAGAAGGCGTATGCAAACGGGAATCGAGAGTACTGGTCAACGATCGTCAACGAGTATCGGTTTCAAGATTCTGATAGAAGCCAACCTTCAAAATCAATGTTCAGCGTCTCAAACGGCGCAGTGGCATTGATTCAATTTCCCGTGCGAAATTTACAGAACTCTGGTTTCCACCAAGTACAGATTGAGCAGCTGCTGCTGACCGATTTAACTTCATTGACAGAATAAGGGAGATTTTTAGTCCAAACAAAATGAAGCATTCGCACGATTCCGGTATGACACAGTGAGTGATGTAGCTGTTTGAATGGTTCAAGTGATGTGGATACTGAGCAGCAGTTACGAGACTGCGTCAGCCGCCACGTTTTCATATCCAGGGCGCTAAATAACATCGAAACTGTAGCATGATAGTTCAATTCTCCATCTCTGAATTTTATCATTTTTAATTTTATCATGGTGTCTCGAATCGAACATAAAGGCAATCTATTTTTGATCTGTGATCAGTCTGAAGTGCGTAGCAGGCAAATAGTGTCTTTCCTTCTGGATAGCTTCGACGATTGCGTTGGCTTCTTTCTTTAGGGAGGAATGATGCCCTTCAATGCGAGAGGGTAGCCGAAATAGCTACGTCCGAGGTGTCTGTTTCCACGACTAGTGGTATCTTCGGGTCGATGGTGGTGATGATTGCGTGTTCTAGTTCGCTTTTGAGCGTTTTAAAGGATATTCTGACGTCCTCTGGTAAGGGAAATGTGTTATGTAATAAGGGATGTATCTTGTCCGAGACTCGAGGAATCCAATGGGAGTAATATGAAAATAAATCGATTGCACGGCGTTGCGATTTGAGGTCTTTGAGAAGTGGAAGTTCTCGGTGTGGCTTCAGTCGTTCAGAGTCCGGTTTCATCAAACCGTGTGAGACTTCGTAACTCAGGAGTTTTACTTCTTTGGTACCAGTGATGGACTTGTCATCGTTTAGTGTCAGCCCATATTTTCTAACAGCTTTGAAAAAATCGTTAGATTTTTGTCGTGATCCTTGTTCAGTCCGCACGCCGTAATGTTGTCGATGTGGGCGAAGGTTCCCAACAGATTTTCTTCCTGAATGAGTTTATCGATTGCCCGCTGGAAGCAAGCAACACCATTAGTCACACCCAAGGGTATTCGACAGAACTGGTACAGCTTACCGCATGCTTCAAAGGCAGTGAATGGTCAATCTTTTACTTCTATAGCGATTTGGTGGTATGCACTTCGTAAATCTAAGGCACTGATGACAGCTTATCGTGATATTTTAGACACCATTTCGTATATTCGCGGCAGTGGGTAAGCGTCCAACAGCGTGTAGCGATTAATAGTTTGACTATAGTCGGCTACCATGCGTCTCCTGTGCCGTTCATTTGTGGTTACAAGGAATTGTGCTCGCCAGGGTGAAGTTGAAGTCTCAATGATGCCCTCCTTAAGGAGACGACGAACTTCCGATGGAATAAATTTCTCGCCATCAGGAATGTGGCGGCGTGATTTGATTGCAATGAGTTTACAATCTGGCAGCATGTTCCCCAGAAGAGGTGGTGATTTGATGCGTGAAGCAGCTACAAAGAGGAAGATAGGGTCTGTTACCCGCGAACGGGATTTCAACTGCTTTGTGGAGTTTCAGCAACTCATGTCCCAGTAATATATCCGCACACAAATACGGAAGGACCGAGAGTTTGAAATTATCTTATGAATTGTTCTTGAGGTCTATGATGACTATGATGACCTTTCGTGTGACTAACCAATCTCGTGGAGGCCATCAAGATTGTGCTAGATGATTGCATAACATTCAGATGGTGTCGTTTCACGAAAGATTGGGAAATATAACTTCCCTAGTTTCCGGTGTCTACTAGAGCTTCAACGGGAATTTTATTCACGGTGATTTCTACCAGTGCGTTAGAGAGACAAGCCGGAGCGAACGCTGAGACTGTGGTTGAGAGCGCAAGCATAGTAGCCGAGGTTGACTGTTTCTCCGGGAGCGATCTACAGATCTGTTTGGAATGTCCTTTCTTCCCACAGTTACTGCAAACTGCGTCCTCATCTGGACGTTTGGAACGAGGATGTCTGTCGTTTCCGCAAAAATAGCATTTGGTTTTGATCACGGCTGACGTTTTCGCAGGTGGGCTGTTGTTTTCCTTGAGATCGTACGAGAGACTTTCTATTGGTTCAAATAAACCCGAGGCTGCTGCTGTATTCGGCATTGGTAGTGTCTGTTGTTGTGCCATTTCAAGTGATAGAGCTAGTTCTAAGGCGGTCGGTAGGTCTAGACATCTGTTTTCAAGAAGACGCCGTCTCACAACGCTTGACTGCATCCCGCTTATAAAGGCGTCTCGTATGGCGTCATCCTGATTTTGTTCAACCG